CCCTGAGTCCCCTCAGGGAAAAGGGCGGCCTATAAATAAATAAATCTACAATCTACAATCTACAACATACACACAGAGAGATACACATTAAACTTACATTGCATATGAACAGTAGAACAGTAGTTTTCTGCCAGCAAAAGACTGGATAGCTATTACTAACAGAACTATGGAGAAAGGCGCTCAGAATAAATATGAATCAAGTGGTAATATATTTTATTTAATAAATTTTATAATCAAAGATTAACATACACTTGACAGAGAACAGATCTTTATACATATCCAAAAGTTATAAACAAAGCTAAGCATATGTAGCAAAGACAACCTTGAAGAAGGAATGAAAGAACTTTAAATGTCATCTTGGTCCGGTCAAGATAAAACCACCATAATTCTGTCTAATCATTTATTTACATATTGGTTTGCTTCTTGCCTACATTTTGATATAGGATACTGAAGCTGGATCCTAGTGTTTATACAGGGTGGTATAATACACTATGTTAGCATTAGTTAACCTCATTTAAATACACCATCATTTTCAATAGGCTTATATAAGATAGCCAAATTTGTCTCTGAGATGTCCTATGCAGCATGGAGATGTTACATGTCATCAATAAAGGTGCTAAGCACTCTCTGGCAATAAAAACATAATACAGGACTGAAGCTTTTCTGGCTACTGAATGAGCTGAAGAAAGTTGTGGTAAAACTGAATGTATTTTGTCAGATATATACTTTTGATACATTTTTATTTTGGTGATGTTTAGCTGGAATTAGGAAACAAAAGCTGAACCCTTTGACTAATTTATGTGTGTGTTGTGTACACACACAGACACACACACTGAAAGCCAACTGGATGACCTTGGGCCAGTTGCTCACTCTCAGTCCACCCACCTCCCAGGGTTTTGTGGGGTGGGGTGGGGAAAGCAATCTATATAGGAAGTGCAGGAAGTGCAATTTACAAAGACTTATCTCTTTTGGATTATGTTCTTTAGCAGAGACAGAGAAAAGGTTTAGATCATTAATCAATTAGATGATTTATGGTCAAGCTATTGTAACAGGGTTTATTCACTATGCTAAGGCTATTTTTTTTCTGTTTCAGTGGGATGCTCAGCCATATAGATGAACTAAGCAGTCTCCAAGATTTTAACAAATCTGAAGGGAAACAATTCAAATTCAAATTTGTTTTTGAGCAAGAGACCAATTCTGTGATTTGGCTAGGACACCAGTTTCAGGTATAGTATTGGCTAAGGCACGAATGTCCAAAGTCTGGCCCGGGGGCCAATTGTAGCCCGTTTTCAAATTTCGAGCAGCCCGCAGCCTCTTCTCCCTGTTGGAGTTATTTGTTTAGTCTTTCATAAAATAGTTCATTTGCATTTAATGGTAATGGTTCAAAGAATGTGAGGCTGAATGGTCGGCCCCACACATTTTCATCTCACCAAATCTGGCCCTCCTTGCAAAAAGTTTGGACATCCTGGGCTAAGGTCTCCTTATTTTCATATTACATAAACCTAGCTACTATGGTTTGTAGCTTGGTGTATTTTGTGAACCCAGTCAAACAAAGGTTAAATAAAACATAGCTTAATACCATATACTTATACAGTACAAAACAAATTTTAGTCCTATTAAGAGGAAAAACAGAACAAAAATTCAGCACATAGTAGTGTCACTTCACTATTCATGCTCACTCTTTCTAAATATATTTTAATTGCTTTTATTTTAAACTTTATAGTCTGCATTTTAATACTGCAGTGTGTATAAGATAGCAAAGTCCCTCTATTTACAATTATAAAAGCGTTTATACATTGCGTTTACCTGTTGTTCTAGTGGTTATGGCGCAGGCTAGAAACCAGGAGACCTGGGTTCTAGTGCTGCCATCATGAAATGGCTGGATGACCTTGGGCCAGCCACTCTCTCAGCCCAGCTCACCTCACAGGGTTGTTGTTGTCGTGAGAAAAATAGGAAGAGGAAGGTGCGTTTGGATATTCATTTTGTCAGCTATTTTGTCAGTTATTTTTTAATAATAAAGGAGAGATAAAAAATAAAAGAAAATAATAGAATAAAGTGCCTCAGTTTAAATGCAACTATAAAAGTACTATGAACTGCATCCGTATCTAAAATGATAGTTCATAATTTAAATCAGATTGCCTTATTTTCATGACACAAAAAAGCTCCCCCCCCCCAGCTTCCAACACCTAAACTCTACTCCACCCCACCCCCGAAGACATCCCTCCCCCTCTCGCTTTCTAACCCAGTGGTCAACCTTGGCAACTTTAAGACTTGTGGACTTCAATTCCTAGAGTTCCTCAGCCAGCTGGCTGAGGAACTCTGGGAGTTGAAGTCCAAGGTCTTAAAGTTGCCAAGGTTGGAGACCACTGTAATCTAACCAACCCACTCGCGCAGCTCTGCGTCGCGTGCGTCGCAGGCGTCACGCGAAAACGGGCCGCCTACGCGATCGCGCCAAGCCAATCGGGGGCCTCGGAAGAGCGACGTCAGCCAGGCCCTCTTTGAACCCTGACCTTTAGGTCCTCGCGCGAGGCAACCGACGGCGGGACCTCACGTCCGCTTCCATTCGCCTGAGCGAGATCGCTCGCGGTTGTCCTCCGCCTTTTCCCGCGCGAGCAGCCGCCGCTGGCGATGGTACCGATCTCCCCACAGCGCGCGCGCTAACCCTTCCCGTCATCGCCCCCGCCCCCCCGCCACGGGGAAAGCGCCTCGGGGAAAGCACGGCTCTCCGCCGCCAAACAGGCGCCGCCAGTTTCTCTCGCCAGGCAGAGCCCTCGTTCCCACCCCCGTTTCATCTTCTCTTTCCCCCGGACGCAGCACTAGGCGACGTGGAGCCGGCCAAACGCTTCCCTCACCGGGACCCTCATCATGGCGAGCGCCTCATACCACATCTCCAACCTGCTGGAGAAAATGACGTCGAGCGACAAGGACTTCAGGTGAGAGGCCGAGCCTGGCCTACCTATTTCTGATGTGAGGAGCTTTCCGCCTCCTGAGGCTGAAGGAGACTCTCCGCCTGTCCGCGGCTGGGATGCTTTAGAGCGGGCAGGCCCCAGCTGCTTCTTGGGAGGTGGTGCCCCACCCAGCCTGTCTTTCGCCTGATTTGAGGCCCGTCAAGGAGGAGAACTTGAGGTCCCTGATCCTGGCCTTGTTGTGCCTCGCTTGGAGTCCGCATGGCTGCGATTTGGAGGCCGGCCTTGAGGCGGCTCTTTCCCCCCCAGAAATTGTCTGGAAGTTTGTTAACCCCATTCCCTCTTTTTGCTCTTGTACTACTCTTGTACTCTGATTTTCCTAGAAGCCCGTTCTCTGTCAGCAGGACGTTTCTTAGTCTTTTTCAGTCCCAGTTAAAAATACCTTTTTAAATCAAATACTTTAATGTGTGTATGTAGAGTGGAGAAGCCGCATCTTTATTCTTTGAAATTTGTTTCTAAACTATAACTATAACTTGAATTCACAATGGAAACATACATCTGAAGATATTATAATAAACACTGAATTTTAGTTCAGAAATATTAAAATACCGGCTTAGCCATAGATGTTACTGGTGTTGAATATTTCAGTATCTCACTTCTTTTTATATATATATAAAAGGCAAAGTGATTTAAGTGTCTGTCCTGTCCACGCCTGCTGAAATAACAAATTGTGTATTAATATTTCTAATACTGTAGTAAAATAAGAAAAGTTTTGCAAACTGCTGAAAATCTTGCTGTTACAAAATTAAATTAATTGAAAAAAAAATTCAGAATATATTTCCAATATTTATTATAGAAGACTGGTGTACGTGTAAATCCTCTTTTGCATGTTTGCTGAATGAAATAAATGATTTTCTCCGTTTGCATCGACATTTAAGTTACATAAGAACATAGAAAATTATAACTATCTGTAAAGGACATTAAATTTATCAACAGTATATCACAACATAGCATAAACAGACAATGATTGATCTGTTGTTAAACATAACAGATTAACTTCTTAAGTATTGGTATTTTCTTATGTTTGTTGTTGGCAGATTGATTCCATTAAATTATAAAATGCATGTAGTCCTCGACTTATAACCACAACTGTACCCCAATATTCTATTGTTAAGTGAGACAATTGTTAAGTGAATTTTGTCACATTTTACAACCTTTTTTGCCACAATGGTTAAATGAATCACTGCAGATGTTAAGGAAAGCAGGGTTTTAAGTGGATCTGCCTTCCCCATTGACTTTCCTGGTAGAAGATTAAAAAAGGTGATTTGCATGACCCTGAGACACTGCAACTGTCATAAATATGAGTCAGTTGTCAAGTGTATCAATCCTGGTCACATGATCATGGGATGGTACAATGATTGTATATAATAAATGATCATGTCATTTTTTTCAATGTTATAACTTAACAAGCACTAAAGAAACTTGTAAGTCAAGGACTATCTGCATTTTCTCCTCTATTTTGATTCACTTGTTTATATACAACTTACACACACACGCACACAACGCGCGCGCACACACACACACACACGCCATGTAAAGTATTTCATGTTTCCTGAAGTTCAGTATGGAATTAAATACATACATCAGGCATGAACTCTCATTTTCCATTTAACTGTAATTATGGTATAGCTCTACTGCATCAGCTTCAGTACTAATCATGATGCGTTTTGTGTTTTTACCAGTGTCAATACAATAGTCAAACTAGGGTCAGATTTATAATTGTTAATGGAACAATCCAGTGTAGGTCCTAAAATCAGTAAGTTTAAAGCACAATTATACAAAGTGATGCCACTTTGTAATTAATTAAAAGTAAGTTGGATATTTGTAAAAGAAGCATGGAAGTACTCATGTAATATTTACAAGTCCTTTCCACTCATAGTTCTCAAGACAGGTAATAGCAATAATAATACACATAAAATATTACACAATGAAACAGTAAATACAAATGCACTCTCTTTTCAAATGCACTATGCTTCTATATATTGTGCATATAAGAGGATTAAAACCTTGTGTATCATTTTCATTGTTGAATGAGGCAAGCATTTAAGGACATGACTGTGGCATTTGTTTCAAATATTCATGGTCAGACGCCTTTGGTTTTCCTATATGATATTGTCACAGTTTTCTCATTCTGGCTTCTTTTTAATATTGGAGAAGATGTTTGTCTTAAAAAAAAAACACTTCACAGATATCCCAATTTCATTTTTTAATAGAACATTGGACATCTTTCTGCAGTTTGATGACTACTACTGCTATGTATGCCCTTACTTCTTTCTGTTATACCATATTTTTCGGGGTATAAGATGCACTGGCGTATAAGACGCAGCAAGGTTTTGAAGAGGACAATTAAAAAAAAAGTTTTTGCACTCTGCAAACCTCCCCCAAACGGCCCATTTTTTGCAAAAATGGACCCGTTTCCCCTCCCAAAAAGGCATGAATAGCCTTTAGGGGGTTTGCAAAATGCTCTTGGTGGGGTAGGGAGCCCAAAAAGGAGCAAAAAATTGTCCATTTTTGCAAAAATGGACCCGTTTTTTGTTTTTAAAAAGGGCATGGATAGCCTTTAGGAAGCGTATAGAGTGCTCCTGGGGCCGGGGGGAGGTTTAAGTGAGCAAAAAATGGACCGTTTTTTGCTCATTTCTGCCTTCCACAGCCCCCAGGAGCTCTCTAAACGCTTCCTGGAGGCTATGCACAGCCATTTTGGTGAAGGGGGCGGGGTTTCAGGAGGCAAAAAATGCTGTGTTCAATGTATAAGACGCACCCAGATTTTCAGCCTCTTTTTTAAGGGAAAAAGGTACGTCTTATACTCCGAAAAATACAGTAATTTCAGTATGTATGAATAACATCCAATTGGAAAATGCTGTTCTAAATATTTCCTTGAAATATGTGTATAAAGGGACTTTATTACATGTTGTATCTCAATGTTTGTATTCCCCCTTCCCAGTTTTATGTGAGCCGCCCTGAGTCCCCTCAGGGAAAAGGGCGGCCTACAAATTCTAATAAAACTACAAACTACAAACTACAAACTACTTACTGTAAGCCTTTATTCAATAAAATAGATATTTATAATAGTTGCAAGTCACATTACAGGAAAAAACATTTAATAGCTTTTAGTTGCATTAGATTGAATACAACAGGAAAAAATATTTTAATGATAATATTAGTGGTAGTATTTAATATTTTACCAATAATTTAAGGAAGTGTTAGGATTAAATATGAAATGGAGTAATACACACACACACACACACACACACACACACACACACACACACTGTAGAGGAATAGATTTCATTATTGTTTTCTAAAATTAAAGTTCACATAGAGTCCAGAGTTTGTCATGTAGCTAGATTAACCTTCATTTAGACAAAAAGACTGAATCTACTCCAGTTTCCACTGAGACTTTTATAAAAGAGTCATGTAGAAAAAGAAATGTTACCTATTAAATTTTTATTTTTTGAAAATACTTTATCAGCTTATGTGAAGTATCTTGTATAATCAGTTCTTTTTTTCTAGTCATTTTGTTTTATATTAATTTTCATACAATTTCCATATTTCTAGCTAATTATAGTTGGAACATGTAAATCTATTGTTCAATTTACAAATTATATGTGAATTTATATTGCATGGTTGTGTATATCTGAATTATTTATGTTGTCAAGTTTACTTAATCTATTTTAGATTTTAAAATATTAGGGTTCTTTCTTCTCAGGCTGAAATTAATTTGTTGGTTGAAATGATTTAGAGAAACTTGGCCTAGTCCAATGAAGACAGATTGAGAAGATAGATGTGTTTAGCTTTAAACAAAAACAGACTGAGAATATAGATAGCATGCTTCAAGTATCTAGGGAAATGGCCTATAGAAAAAAGTTATTGTTTTCTATCAAAATAAATTCTGTGATATCATTATACAAGACATGGAATAGTGCTTAAATTACAGAAAGGCACATTTCATTTGAGATTTAGGGCGGGGAGAGAGCTTTCTAATGGTAACCGGAATTTTCGGACCATCTTCTCCAAACAGAATTCAGCCCAATTGGGGACTTTACAGATTCCTTCCCTCAGGAGGTGGTAGACTTCCTGTAAAATAGCTACATGTTAAAATCGATGCCAGATACATAGTGCACTTAGTGCTATCATTTAGACTGGTGTTTTTTCAAACTTGATAACTTTAAGATATTTGGACTTCAACTCCCAGAATTCCCTAGCCAGCATCTTAAAGTTACCTGGTTTGAAAAACCCTGACTTAAACTGATGCCTCAAAACAAAGATATTAACTCTGTCTGAACTACCATATTTTTCGGAGTATAAGACACACAGCAGTATAAGATGCACCAAGATTTTGAAGAGGCAAATTTAAAAAAAAAGATTTTGCATTCTGCAGACCTCCCCAAAACAGCCTGCTTTTCATCAAAAAAAGGGCATGCATAGCCTTTAGGAGGCTTATAGACTGCTCTTGGGGGCTGGGGCCCCAAAAATGAGCCACAAACAGCCTGTTTTTCGCTCATTTCTGCCATCCCCAGCCCCCAGGAGTGCTCTAGAAGCCTCCTAAAGGCTATGCATGGCCATTTTGGTGAAGGGAGGCAGAAACTGCTGTTGTATTCAGTGTATAAGAAGCACCCAGATTTTCACCCTCTTTTGGGGGAAAAAGGTGCGTTTTATACTCCGAAAAATACGGTATTCCAATTCTTTGGTTTTGTAATTTTGTTTTCTAGTAACATGAACTATTCATTTTTCAAACATAATTAGTCTTTCAGTTTACTATTTACCTGGATAGCTAAATAGCTAGTGTCATTTTTTTGCTTTCTATTGTTGATACTTATTTAAATATTTACTTAATGGATTAGGCTGAAAGGTAGTTGAAAAGAATAGATATTTGATGTTATCTTTGCCTTTTCTCTTCATTTTTTATGACAATTGGTGGTCTTGTGCAGATGAGAAAAGATTGTTTGATCTAACATGTTTTTCCCCATTTCTTTCACTCTATTTTGAAGTCTTTTCTCCAGAATTGAAGTATATTACTTTATTTCACATAACGTCTAACATATTTGAAGTTGAGATTATTAATTATTAGATTGATGTAAAACTGATGGCTAACTGAAATGACTTTCTTTAAAAAAAGGTTTATGGCAACAAATGACTTGATGACTGAACTACAAAAAGATTCTATCAAGTTAGATGATGATAGTGAAAGGAAGGTTGTGAAAATGATTTTGAAGTTGCTTGAAGATAAAAACGGTGAAGTGCAAAATTTAGCAGTCAAATGGTATGTATTTTCTGATCAGGCATTTTATTTTATACCAATTGTCTTGATTTATACTGAGAAAATATGAGTTGGTTTATCTGTTCTGTCATTCTATAAGCAAGTCAGGAAAGCCCAGTGACCTTACGATCGCAAACATTACATGGTAAGAGATAACAAGATATTCTTGTTTTTCTCTGTGAATCAGTTTTGATATAATATGTATGAATCTATGTTGATTATTTTGAACTGTCTTTTGAATCCAATTTCACTGGATAATCCTTAGAGAAAATATATGTATATAATTACATCCACATTCTGTCATTGATAGTTTTATAAACATCACTTAAATCTTACATACTACAAAGGGAAACAAATGTGTTTGTTTCATTCCTTCTCATCTCTTTGAAGGCCAACAGTGGTCCTTACATCTGATTATAGTTGTTACTAATGGAGAATTAAATGTAATTCATTTTAATATATTTATATAGAACCAAATAATACTTGCATGTGGGTGTACGAAAAGATGTAAAATTCTATTTGCTGTCATGAGAAGATGCAGTCATTTTGAAATTAACTAACAGAGTGTACAGTAATTGACTATTGCATAAAAGAAAAATAATTTTAATTATTTTATTATTTGAATCCAGAAGCAGTGATACCATGTTTCATGGTACTATACTTTACAGGGTACTATAAAATCAAGTACAATGATTTTTATAGCAAAATTCCCATTGTTTTATTCACAACCATGAATCAGCCTGAGAATAGATATATCACATATAAATCAGATGTCTATATATAATTTTTACATACGGAATTTTTGTCATTGCTAAACATAATAAAGATTTTTTTAAAAGGTTAATTCTTTAACAATGTTAAAACCTTACATTTATTTATACTGAAGAAAAAGCTATCTTCCTTATTCTAAGAATTATGCTTACTTAGTCAGAAGTAATGATAGTAGATTATATATAAATAAAAATGGGAACAAAACATTTCTGTGTCAGATTAGTTTTGTTAAATAAACATTTAAATTTAATAAATAATTGGAAATTGGAAATTGGAAAGTTTATTTATAGGCCACCCTTTTCCCTGAGGGGACTCAGGGCGGCTTACAATTCATGGGGAAGGGAATACAAACAATAACACATAAGAACAATACATAATTAAAATAGAACACAACATTCATTATTCGGGTGGGGACGGATTACAATCTTAACCCCAGGCCTGACGGGATAGCCAGATTTTAAGGGCTGTGCGGAAGGTCTGGAGGGTGGTGAGGATACGGATCTCCACGGGGAGATCGTTCCAAAGGGTCGGAGCTACTACTGAGAAGGCTCTCCTCCGTGTAGTTGCCAGTCGACACTGACTGGCAGATGGAATTCGGAGGAGGCCTAGTCTATGTGATCTAATTGGTCGCGAGGAGGTGATTGGCTTGAATTGCTTATGGCTCTACTTGAATTAATCATATAAATAAACTTTCATTGAGAGATTTTACTTCAAATTCATTGTTAAAATTTTTAATATTTCCCAAGATAATCTATTTACCACATTTCTGTTTTTCCCATTATTGTATTTATACTTGAAATATGATGAGAAGTATTCACGGATAAGCCTGTTTCTTCAGTAATCTATGTTGTAGAAAGTGGCAGCTGTTAATGTAATTTGAAAATAGCAAAATGAATGGCTTTGCTAATGTTTTTTTATTTTATTTTTGTTAGATTTTATTTTACAAAATAATTTAATTGCTTACCTGTATTCATTAATGTCAGTTTCTTGGCTTCATTCAAAATCCTTGGCAAAGTTATGAAAATAAGTATTTCTTTCAGTCAACATTTTTTTAGCTGCATTCAAAGCATTGTGAATGATTGTTTGCTTTATTTTTGCTACCTAGTGTTAAAAATACATGAATGTTTTATTTTAAAAGCTGTTAGAGAATGCTATGCTTCCGATTTGAGATCAAAAATGCGATTTCTTTTAATTTGATGGAGATTGACAATTGCATTCAGGAAGTGACTGTAGGATGTGCCTTCTTAACTCAAACAACCTTTTCTATTTGAGATTTGAGTGATTACACATAGCTACTTGATTTCTTTATATGTCTCAGATATAGTCTAAAGCCCCCAAATATTTGATATAAATGCTGCCAGTAGATTGTAATTCTAAAGTAGAGTAGTCTCCTTCAAGTCACATTCAGTTATTGGTAACATCATAAACATTTCCATGGGTTTGGTTTTTTTAAAAAAAAAATATGGAACTGGTATAGTGTTGCTTTCTTCAGCATATTTTAGGACCATGTTACTTAGTAATGGAGTTTCTGGTTCAAATACCATAATAAACCAATGACTACCTGTACTGTTTTCTTAATAAAGCTTATTTTGTGAAACCCACAAAAATTACATGATTTATACTTTGGTATTCACTAAAGAAATTTAACAAATATATTTTTGGCAATGCTTTCTTTTTTTCTTCCTGTTTATTGACCAGTCAATAACTAAATAATTTTTAATATCTATGTACAATAGAAGCAAATGAAAATATGCAGATAGAAGCAAATACAAAACATTCTTTGATTTGAAACTGGTTTATTTAAATTAATGGAAACACAAACCTTTGTTTTGATGTGTATCTTAAGTTTTATTTATAAATATAAATGAATAAATATTTCAACATTTTAAATTACAATTTAAATTGTTTTGGTTTCATTGCAGTCTTGGACCCCTGGTGAGTAAAGTGAAAGAATACCAAGTAGAGACAATTGTTGATACTCTCTGTACTAACATGCTTTCTGACAAAGAGCAGCTACGTGATATTTCAAGCATTGGTCTAAAAACGGTTATTGGAGAACTTCCTCCTGCATCTAGCGGTAAATCTTCCTTATTTCCTTCTCTTGATCATTTATTATTATCTAGTTTGATTTTAGTTGGTCAATCTCAATACAAATGAAGTAACAAATAATTATTTTATTTTAAAACATTTGATTTGTAATTGGTTCTCTTTGTTGTTTAAGTATCTGTTTTAAGTACTAATGTTTTAATTTCCAGCTTGGATTTTATGTGTTTCAAGAAAGGAAACAGAAAGTGTTAAAAAAATAAAGCTGATAGACATTTTGGTCCTTGATTACCATGTTTTCCCGAAAATAAGACAGGGTCTTATTTTCTTTTAACTCCTGAAATAAGCACTTGGCCTTCTTTTCAGCGAGGTCTTTTTTTTTTTGAGGTGCAGGAGGCGGTGAGCGTGGTTACCTCAGGCTGTTTGCTGTGTTGCAATATTTTTTGGGAGGGCTTATTTTAGCGCATGCACTTAAAAGCCCGATTGGGCTTATTATCCAGGGAGGGCTTATTCAGAAGAACAAATAATCTGGTGGGGGTGGGGGAAACAGGAGGGAAGAAAAATCTAACAGTTTTTGTCTGGTCCATCTAGTAAAATAATTTGTACATGGTGCAGCTTAGTTTTACCAGCATGGTGTTTTAATATTCTTTTCCTAGATTGTTCTTAAAAAGATCTGAGTTATAACTTGAAGTTTAAGTAAGAAATTGTGTATAAATTCCAGTCACTTATACATGTGGTTTGTTGTTTTGCCTGCTGTGCACTTATGCGTATACCTTTCTAGGAAATAAAAATAGATTTGTTATATAATTTATTCAATTACATGTATTACAAAATGAGTAGCATTTTATTTTGGAAATATTACATATCTTTACCAATAATTACTAGTTTAATATTGATGATATTGCATTGATTTTCAGGCTCTGCATTAGCAGCTAATGTTTGTAAAAAAATTACTGGGCGACTTACTAGTGCTATTGCAAAACAAGAGGATGTGTCTGTTCAGTTAGAGGCTTTGGACATCATGGCTGACATGTTGAGCAGGTAAACATATACATTAAAGACACTCTTAGGCAGTATTTCTGCAAACTGCCCTATTCATGTTTGCCTGTTACAAAAATGCCTTGACAATATAATTTATCATATTGATTTTGGTTTTTTAATGTTTTAAGGCAAGGAGGACTGCTTGTGAACTTCCATCCTTCTATTCTGACGTGTCTGCTTCCTCAGCTAACTAGTCCAAGGCTTGCTGTGAGAAAAAGAACCATCATTGCTCTTGGTCATCTTGTTATGAGCTGTGGTAACATAGTGTTTGTGGACCTCATTGAACATCTCTTGACTGAGCTATCAAAAAATGATTCCATGTCAACAACAAGAACCTATATACAATGTATTGCTGCCATCAGTAGACAAGCAGGTCATAGGATAGGTAAATAAATTTATACAGTACTTTCACATTTTTATGTGAAGTGTTAAACATTTCATAATTATATTTTTATTTTTCTGCCATCAGGTGAATATCTTGAGAAAATTATCCCTTTAGTAGTAAAATTTTGTAACATAGATGATGATGAACTTCGAGAATATTGCATTCAAGCATTTGAATCTTTTGTTAGGAGGTAAGGTATCCATTGCTTTGTTTGGTTTCTCCTAGCTATCTGTATAGTATGAAAAAAATTGTAGTCACAGAAAAAATAGTTGTTTTCTTGTGAAATCATGAAGTCCTTCCAGTATTTGTCATTGAATTAAATTGTATTCTTTGTTCTTTTACTAATTCTGAATTATTTTGGTAAGATATATAATTATTTCAAAGTACTGTCTCCTTAATATGCCGTTGCAAAAGACAATTAATAGGGAATGCTTATCTGGTGCTTGAGATGTGCTGTCACTTAAAATTTATACTTCTTAAAAGTACCAGTGGAAAATCTGCCATAAAACATTTATATTATATATTAAGCATGTTATGTGATATATTTGAAATTCTGTAAAATATTCAATGAAGTATTCACCTCATAAGCCTAAGACTGAAAATCAGGCTTGTCAGATGTTACACCTTTTCTATCCTGCTCTACGGAGTAGAGAGTTGATCTCTGACAGAAAACCACTTGAAGAAACTAGAAGCATTTGAAATGTGGATTTAAAGACAATTGTTATGTATAAGCTGGGTTGACAAAATTACAAATGAGGAGGTGATAAGCCGCCTGGGAAAGCAAAGGAAAACCATCAAAGCCATTAAAAAGTGAAAGTTAGAATATTTTGGACATGTGATGCGACACCCAGAAAAATACGGCATACTTCACTTAATCCTCCAGGGAAAATTTGAAGGCAAATGAAGTCCAGGCAGAAGAACAACATCCTGACTTCAAAACCTAAGAGACTGATTTGGACAAAACTCAGCATTTTTTCATGCAGCTGTTGACAAAAATAGGATTGTCAACATGATTGCCAACGTCTGATGACGGATAAGGCACAAGAAGAAGAAAATATTCAACTTACAATCACAATTGAGCCCAAAAGTTATGTTGCTAAGTGAGACACTGGTTAAGTGAGTTTTGCCCTATTTTACAACTTTTCTTGCCACAGTTAATAAGTGAATCATTGCAATTGTTAAATTAGTTACACAGTTGTTAAGTGAATTTGGCTTCCCCAATGACTTTGCTTGTCAGAAGGTTGCAAAACGTTATTCCATGACCCTGGGACACTGCAATTGTCATAAATATGAACCAGTTGGCAAGTATCCAAATTTTGATCATGTGACCATGGGGATGCCACAACAGTTATAAGTATGAAAAATAGTCATAAGTCACTTTTTTCTGTTCTTCTGTAACTTCAAATGGTCACTAAATAAACTGTTGTAAGTCAAGGATTACCTGTATAGAATACATACAATGGAATAATGAATTGCTTTATATTAGATTTTCCAATTGGCTCTTTTGAGAAGTGTTAATCAAACCTGGAAATGTTTCTAGTATTTATACTCTTATCTATAAAAGAAGTGAGCATTTTTGTTGTTTTGGTCTTACAAGATGGGAAGAAATCTTGTAAATAACAGCTGAAAAATTCATCTTCATCTACAGTCAGGTCTTTGATTCTTTGGAGGCACTGTAGTGGGAAGAATATTTACTTCTCTCTGTGAGTTGTTCAAACTTTTTGTCAGTTCTTTAACAATGTTGTAAGTCATAATGATACAATTGAATGGAGACGTATGCCTGGCTTGTGTGTTTTAGGGTGTCCATAGAGCATGGGAGGACAGGTCCCCTGCTATTTCATCTGCCGCTGCTCTTTCGAGATTTGGCTTATCTTGATAAGGTCATTGAAAGTTGATTTGGTTGTCTAGTTTGATCCAATTGAATAGAAGATGAAATCATGGTCTCATTTGATGTCACACACTACATATCCATAGATCCATAACTAAAAAAGGAATCCATGACAGCGCTACTACACAGCATACCACATCTAACCAAATATACCTGGATTGGAAGACAGAATTGTGGACTTTATAACTTTTACTAACCTATAACCATACAGTGGGGCAAAAAGTATTTAGTCAGCCACCAATTGTGCAAGTTCTCCCACTTAGAAAGATGAGAGAGGCCTGTAATTGACATCATAGGTAGACCTCAACTAAGAGAGACAAAATGAGAAAACAAATTCTGACAATCACATTGTTTGATTTGGAAAGAATTTGTTTGCAAATTATGGTGGAAAATAAGTATTTGGTCAA